TGAAGACCTTCGTCACTTGTGTTGTGGAGTCTGTAGTGCAGACTTCTCTGACCGCCGGATACAATGGGTACCTATGACTACTGGATAAGCGAAATGCGAAATTTCTAGATTTTTTTCTCAAATTTCCTTAGAAATACTTTTGAAAATTTGCTCACTGATGCCTTTCAGATACATATCGCATAAAATACAACGTGCTTGCAAGGAATTATGAAGAACAATCTACTTCGGCCAACCGTCGACCGACGTCTGGCTCGCTTTGTCCCAAATATCGTTTGAAAGACCTAATACGCTTTCAAATACAACTGGAATTCTGAATGTAAGCCGAGAGTGTGGCGCATTCCAGGAACGCCGATAACTCCATCACTCTCACCTATAGGGTAAGATTTCTCGCCCAATTGCTTTTCTATGTCAACATTTATAAACGAATGATGTGACCTGACCTGCATTACGCTGGTATTGATGTCATGGTTACCAACAATACTGATTGACCGACTTTAACGGTAAATTAGAGATCAATCTTATCACATCAATCAAGAAAATGTTCACAGTACCGATTGTTCACTTTTCTTTCTCTTTTCTTGCTGGCCTCGGATTGATTTTTTTTAAATTTTTTCTTTTTTCAATGGATTAGTTTGTCATGGTTCTATCACGACGATTTTTATCGGGATTCGATTTACTTCCTCCTTGGCTTGATTACTGTTTAGCATTTCTTTTCTTCGGTTGAGTATAGAGCGTAGCCAGTCATTTTGTATATCGTATGTCGCATGCTAAGGGCGGTCTGAAGTTTCCCAATTAAATGATCATTACAGCCGCCTAAATCTCGAAGGGACGGGAAAACAGCTTAATTTATGATTCTGATCGTAAATCGATCGACTGTCTCATCCTTCCCAAATTGGTGAAACGGGCACCAAATTTTGTAGCTTTCTTCAGAGGCTTTGGTTTATTCACCGGTTTGTAACCAGCGGTACGGACCTTAAATATATGTGGGCGCTCTGAAGCACAAATGATTCTGATTAGAAGATGAATGCGTGGCGCGTTTCACATGACTAATGAGTCGAACATTTCATATGATGGAACATCATCAGCAGCCATATACTTTGTTTTGCTTTGCCAAGCACTGCTTTCCCGAGCTTCTGGAAGCCTTTACATCATGTGCGAAGCCTGAAAATTGGCTATGGTTGTGCAATGGTAGCAGTGCTGCCTTGTGAGCATAAAGTTTAGGTTCAATTTCTACCAAGGCAATGTGTGTTGCATACAGCTCGGCATCTCTGTGAATACATTAATAGTGTATACAAACTCCTTGCGCTTGGACATTCCCTTGCTGGTTCAATATCTATGTGTACAGGGTCTGTTTGGTAGCACCTGACTAGTTTTTCCATACACTTACTCTGCGTGGACTTGGAATTAATTGACAACAATTAATAGACGACAGCAAACAGTAGACTCACCCAGGCCTCACCCATACCTGCATCTTCCCACTCAGATGATGCCAACTAACTAGTTAAGGGATGATGGAATTCAAGGCCCTGACAGCTTGTGTAGGATTTCGTCCTACGCTTAAAGGCATGCCCCAGGCAGAAGTCATATGAACGATTCCCTTCGGTCTGTAGGATGGAACCCGAGAGGAGAAACAGAGATGTGGCATTCCCGTGGACGCGAAGCACCTGACAAGAGTGCTGGGGCCTTGCTATCAAGCTGCTGAAGCTGCAACTTTTTTTCTCTTATCA